TCACGTATGCCACGAGAGAAATAACACATTATTATGTAGCACTCACAGTGACACATACCGGTGCTTTGTTTCAGGGAAATAACGGTCCGCACGCGTAACGTACATACAGTGCGTAATACGAGCGATGAAAAATTAGTATACATTAACGGTATACATTACGTATAACGTATCGAGTTTAGTTCTGGTTATCTTAATTGTATCTGTATTATCCACACATATCATTGGGAAAATAGTCCAGATGGTTGTGGAGAAATGCCTTGTAATTCATAAACGACTCGGTAACATATTTTTATACCGCGTTTTGCGTTTTAATTAATACGTCGGCGTGAATTGAGAGTGTATTAAGCGCGTGATATGATTGCAAATAAAACGAAGCTTCGGTTATGCACCGATGGAAGAAAACGGTATTTAGAAACAATTGCGGAATGCAGCATTCGGATATTATTATGACAATCGTGCTTTATCATATCGCGGTGAAACTTACGGAGTCGATGAAATTCCTTCAATGACGATAACGATTGTCCGCAATGGACGATTCAGCACACTTTAATTGGTAATGGCAGAATTAACAGTTACAGAATTAATAGACCGTTAGACAAATATTTCTTACATCGATGTGGTATATCGCGGTTATATTATTCCTATATAAGAAACTTAAATTTTTATAGACTATTTCAGAAATATTACATTTTATTTTCTTCCAAAATCAGTCTAAAAAAGTTAGCAACTTTTTCAGAGCAGCAACATTAATATATTATTTTTAAACAGTTAAATTTAATCTTGTAAATTAATTCAATTAAAAATATTTAAATCTTAAAAGTATAACGTTAAGATATCTAAGTTACCATTACTTGCTATATTTCTATTGTACATAATTGGATAACAAAGTAATTATAGTCATATACATATGTGTAACATATACAGGAAAAATAATAAGAATTAAAAAAATAACTGAAAGAATAATTTTTTGTATATTGTTTCTTTAATAAAAAGTAAAGTTTAAAAAATTACTTCATATTTATTATTTTTTAATTTTAATTAAAAACTACAATTTTATTGTTATCATCCGGGTTTGATTATCCGTACAAATAATTATTGGAAAAAAGGTGTTTTGTGGCGATATATATAATTCCAATTATTGTTGTGTCGTAAATATACATTCTATTTATGTTTATATGAAATATATATGTATAATAATAAATTATGGATTTTTTATTTTATGTTGATGATTAAACGATTTATACCCATAGTCGATAATATCGATATTCTTCAATTATCTGCTGGTAATGTATAATATAATTTATATAACTGCATTCTCCAACATACAAAATGTAAATAATTTATCCGAGCCAAAATTATGCCTGATAAAGGTTCAATTAAAAGCAATCAGTTCTGGATAAATCTTATTGTGTTTATTCAAGTAGCCTCAGTGGATAATTGAAGAATGTTATTATCGACTACCGACATAAAATTTTCGATCGTCGATATAAATGCCTAAATAATTATAGTTTATATGCGGTAATATATAATTTATTATTTTTTAGATGCTTCATAAATAAATATACATATTTATGATTTAATAACATCGTGTATTGTTGCGAATCTGCATTTCTATATAATTATCACCAGCATAGATAATCAAACGCGGATGAAGATAATAGCAGCGCAGTATTTATTAATAACATCGAATATTGTCATAGATGTACGATTTATAAAAAAACATGAGGATGATAATAAATCGCAAAGACAATATTATATTATAAACTAATCGTTCAAGTTTTGACAATCATGGGAATTTTTACAAGATTATCGGTTCTTAACAGTCTTCTTGTTGATGCTAATGCAAATTAAGTTTACAATCAAGAAACTTGCAAAAACAAATTATGCAAATAAAAAAAAGATAACCGGCTATATCAGTAGTCAACGAGCTCCATAATGATGGAGTTATTAAGGCTGCGTGATAAACGTTTATTCACAGACCATCATCAGGTATCATTACACTTGTATTGATTGTATTGATAGTGCTAACATGACCGTTGAAAGAGCTATCATTTTCTCTAAAGCCTTGTGTCCACCATGCTATAAATCTCGGACGGAGAAAGAATTAACCAATCGCATTGGTCAATTGCCGAATTATTTAAATATGCTTGGTCAATTTTTTCTCCGTCCGAGATCTCGGAGAGCGATTTCTAGTATCGTAGGCTTAAATTACGAAGCGACAGATAAGTGTCTGAATAGAAATGACCATTGAACATTGATCGAAAAGGCAGAGAATAAAAGATAAACTGAAGAACGGAAAGAGGAAAGAAGAAGGCCCTGAGATAATGTAATTCAAGATAGCACATCGCATTATTCGATCATAAAATTATTAACGTATATTTCGTGTTTAGCGGAAGTTTAGTTTAGTTTAAAGTACATAATAACTCGAGGACAAATTTTTCATATATAAAATATATCCATATATGTTTTCTTTCTCTTGTATAATCTCTGCTCGTATATACAAGAAAAAATAATAAAAAAAAATTAAAAAAATAATTAAAAGGATAATTTTCGCATCTTTTTTTTTTTTACAAAACATGAAGTTACCCGTATATATAATCATATATAAATGTTATAATCGTATATAAAATATAATTATATATAAAATATTGTGAAATCTAATCACACAATTTTACTTTTTGTGAAAGAAACAATACGAAAGTTATTTTTCTAATTATTTTTTAATTATTCTTCTTATTATTTATATACAAACAGAGGTACAAGAGAAGGAAGACATGTATGGACATATTTTATGTATAATTATATAATTTTTTTCCTGGGAGAGCATACCTACAAGGCACATGAATACTCAAAACATTTTTAGAAAGCGCTTCCTCGTAAAGTCCATGGATAGCCACGGTAGAAAGAAGCAATTAACGTTGTCTCACGATTAGTTGGAACTATTCACCGAGGGGCAAATGTGCGGACGGGTCAATTTCTGCGCGCTCTCGGTCAGCCGACCTTCTGCAAGGTCCTCCCGAGAGTGAGCACGGGAGGACTTCGCGGCTTGGAATGCGTGACTCGACGATTTTATAACCCGCTTTCAATTACCCTTCTTGGTGCTCCTGTTTCGTTCGCCATTGCGCCGCGGGGTAAGGCGAGAGGAAGAGGGGAAATACCGCAACGCGAGCAAAAGGCACGGACCGTCGAAACGCCGGCGACGCGCGTCGTCGCAAACGCGTTTGTATCCTTACCTCCTTTCTTGCCCGCCCACCCTTTTTCTCGCCGCTCCGCACGGGGACGTGATTTATTCGACGTCAGATGTACACGTACAATTCGCGCGCGCAGCCATGAGGAATAAGGAGATCCGATAATGGTGTGCGTATAGCTAGACAGGAAACGCGTCTTTCCTAAAGGACATCCACCCCAACGAGCGGACAATTTGTTTTGGCTCGTTTGCTCGCTCCGTTGAATTCAGAACGATAAGATGTCCGTGAGACATTTAACTTGCTATGAAGCAGCAGATTTCTTGCTCGCTGAAATAAAATTACTTCTAATGTTATTATAATTACAAGATAATATGTTATCATAACGCTAATGTGACGACTGAATTGATATTCATTATGTATTCATTGTGTCACTAAACGGACATTAAATTTAATTGAATGTTGTAATATTAATTTTTCCACGAAATTTAATACCATTTATTCGATGAAAGCTTTAAATCTATAATTATGTTTCACTTTCAGTAAATTTTTATACACATAATTTAATAAATACATATATATTACCTCAACCAACAATACTAATAAGATATGTTGCTTTTAATAATTTGCAATTGCTAAAGCTTAAAAAAAAAGATAAAGACTTCGGTGTATTATTTGATTAACAAAACAAGAATTATTTAGATACAATAAACAATCTGAAATTAATGCCTCATCCATATCTATGATTTCCTCGTTCTATTTTATAATAAAAAATACTTATTACAAATTTACAATCGTCTGTATCCGGTTTCACAAATACTTTCAAATGCACAGATACATTGACACTATCTGATATCTTTACAAAGGCATGTTTATCCGTTTTCAGACCCCACACGATGGTACTGGTCCTGTTGATACCTATAATCGGATTTGTGGCAGCAAATCCTTTTCCAAACACTCTGAACGACCGCTTAATCCCTCAAGTCCAAAAAGCGCTTTCGCTTTCCACGGAGAATCGTTTGAACACGCTGGATGGCGGTTCGGACAAAAGAAACGAAACGGTGGAAAATATCAAAGAAACTCCATCAACCCCGGAGTATGTCCGTCATCTCGCAACTTCCGAATCGGAGATACGTGAGAATGAGGCGGATGAGAAACGGGTGCAAGGACGAAAGCACAAAGCTATGTTCGTAGACTATCCTCTGATATCGCATATCTTGCATTACCCGAGGGTGCCCACCTATGAAATCGATTACAACGACAACACCGAGCTGACGACGCAGGATAGATCGTCGGGCGCGTCTAGGAGATACCAAGAGAGCGATATCTTCTACATCCGACTCCCGCCCATTCCATATATGTTCGTACCCGGTCTCGGATACATCTCGCAACCGCCTACGTACCCGGGCGCTTCCCTGAAGCCCCAGATACCCCTCGTGCCGCAACTAGTCCAGCTGCATCAGCAGCTACACGTGAGACCCGCGCGACCTCAGCCGGCCTCTCAGCAGACCGTTAATCCCTTCATCAAACTGCCTATAGACTTCATAAGCAACGGCAAGCCCACCTCCGTCTATCAGTGGCAGAAGAAGCCTGGCAAGAAGCCAACCGACAGTCCCATCACGAACCTGGACAACCTGTCGGCCGACTTCGTGAACAACGGTAAGCCGACCTCTATTTATCAGTGGCAGACGAATTTCAAGCCGGCAAAGAGGCCGGATGATTCGCTCAACAGCCTCGATATGGGACCCTACACCTTCAATGGCAAGCTGACCAGTATGTATCTGCTCGAATCGGACGACACCACCTCGATGCGTCAGGCCATACGACATTCCAATTAGCAAAACGCGCGCACGACTAAATTTGTCTGATTACGTTGAAAGTTGGGAACAACCACAACACAGAAGGAATTTAATTAATTAATGTCTCTCTCTCAAGGCGGACGTAACATGAGTGACAAGTATTCCGCGAGTTGGCGAGCACATTTAATGTCAGTTTCAACCTTGGCGGGAGCAGCCGAGTGAATCTGACTATAGTGCTGACCAAGCTTATAACAGTATTCGCGATAATAATATTAATATCGAACAATGTTTCAGATTCATGACTGACGTTACATAATATTCATAATTTATATCTTGTACCATCATTATATTAACTCGTCGTATTACCGTAATTATTGAAACCGTAATTACTGAAATCTTGTTGCTCGTTGTACGGAAACATTACAAAATACATGAAAATATGGCATTACAACGTTAGAGTATAATAATGTTAGAAGTTTGTCAAATTGAATGAAGAATTTGATCAGTTGCTCCACATAGGGAATTATTGAAAATTATTTCAAGCAAAAAGAGGGGCATATATTGAGAGTGTAACGCGGTTGTCAATGTTATCCATTAAGTTATCCGTTTAATGTTCATTAATTAGTAATAGGATATAATATGTATAATTCATCGAGCGTTTCGGCTCTACTTTGAGCCATCTTCAGCAATGCGGTAGCAAGTCTCTATTTGCTAAAATAATCTCGCGTTTTCGAACGAACCACAGATGAGTGTTTCCAGATTGAATGGTCTAAAAGCAATGTATTTCACACGAAGAGATCCGAGTGAAATTTTGACAAATGATCATAGTCTTATTACTAATTAAAGAACGTTAAACTGATAATCGAGTAGCATTCTCAATGCTCCCTTTTTCGTTCGTTACTTATTTAATTTCACATTATCAGGAGTCCTTAGTTAATTATCTATTTAATTTAAAAATATTATTTCAAGAAAATTATCATATTGGATTGTTATTATTATATTGCATTGTTATTATTATATTGATAATAACTTATTAAACAGAATTAAATAAAGATATCGTGTACTACGTGATTTTGCAAGTATTGTACAATAATACTTTCAATAGTTAATATTTCATGAATATTTTATAAAATGTGCGAGATGTGTAATTTTAAAACATATTTATTTTTTAATTTTATATTTTTAACGTTTTTACTATATATATTATAGATATTATATAATATTGTGTTTTTTAACAAAGTGTGTAAAAGAGATTATATTATTTAAAGCCGTTGTTTCAGTTCGTGTACATTACCGAATATTTATATAATATTTATTGGTCGACGCGATACTCGTGAGTTTGTAAATATGTGAAATATATGTAAAAATGATTTTAAGAGAGAACGAGAACGCACTATCATTTTTAACCCCGTCCGTGGTATTCCGACAAAGTGAAAAGGCATATTTCCTGCACTTCGTCACTTATAGCACCAAATATTGACTTGGGACATGGGTTTGGTCAGATTGTCTGGACTATATCCTGCCTGGTTGCAAACATGCGCAATTCATTCAGATTAGACGCGTAAGGGGATTCAATATCAAGATTATTTCGATGCGATCTGACTTTGCCATTCCTGCGTGTAAAAATATTACGTCTACGTATGTACATATATGTGTATGGGTAATGTGTGTATCGTGCGCACATAAAATATATGAATGAGAGTTTTACACGACATAAATACATATTAATATATGTTATTTCAATATTCTGATAATATGTATTACGTTATTTGTCACATTATTTTGATGAACACGGTTTTAAATCATTCTACCTTGAAAGAGACTAGCAGTAATTTAACGACGATGTCTATTTGGCAAATACATTATAATTAATGCCTTAATTAAGTAATTAATACTTTACATAAATATACCTGGTAAAATACGGAAATGCAAGTGTGTAGAATCTCGTTGAAATAATATTACATAAATACATAATTAGGGGAATTATACCGTTTATCCTTCTCGTTTACATCACCCAATATTTTTATCACGAAGTTGTTCACGGGATGTAATCGTCCAACGACAGGTTTTGCTCGTGTTACACGCGAAACGGTAAAAGGATGTAATGTGTAGGGACAATCTTCGTCGGAAAAAAGATGATTCTCTTCAGTATCTTGAATTTATACGGTCAATTACCGAAAAATGTAGTCCCAGAGGCGAGCGACTCGTCACCGGCGCGGCTGTTGCTTGCAGATATTAAAGTAAATGCGCTGTAACGGGTTGCGAGGGTTCTCATCCAGATACAAAGTGGTCGAGCAAGGTCATAAACACAGAGAGGTCTATAGATCCATTAGTTTCTATATTTCTCCGCGTCATCCTACCGATGATTAAAAACTCATTCACAGCTGCTCACTACAATTTGGAAATTGTCGCAACAAAATGCAATAAGAATGTCCAAGCATTGATAAACTATGGATGCTTAAGCCGTAAAATTTTAAGCGAATCTTCATTGTTTGATAAAGATTTTATCTGGCGCTATCTTTATGCGTAAACTTCTTTATATTAATAATATTGTTCGAGTATATAAGAAAATTATTTGTATCGAATGAATAACGAATGTATCTGCATATGAATAGTAAATTATGAGGATATAAGAGGTATAAGCATCGACAACACACGTACATAAAATTTTTACAAACGTGTAAGTACTAAAGTATCAGTTATTAATCTGGAATGTGTATCTGATTGCATATCGGCGGAAAGCATCCTATCTTTAATGCATTACGGAATAAATAAAAGGATGACCGGTTTTCGCAATGCAGTTCGATAGTAACTTCATTATCCGATACCGATTATAGAGACAGTTTATTGGATCACTACAATCACAATTAATATCGCAGTTTTATAAACAAACAAATTATTATATCGTGGTGATCCAAGTAAGAAATTCTAGGGAGAAGAAATCAAGGAAAGAACTTTGAAATGCGATTATATATGATTCGTACAATCTTGTCAGCGCAAATAAAAATGATTCAGTTAATGTTAAAAGGTTTAAAAGTATAAATCTATGTAATTGGAAATAATTTTGTATGATACACATAAAAGAAGATAAAAAATCTTTCCAAAAAATGATAACAAATGTTGCTTAAAATTATCATCGCTGATATTAATTATAAACGCGTAAAAAAATGTGGGTTTTTAATTACTTATCAAAATAAAGTGTACAAAGAGCTATAAATATCTTTATTCGTTACACTGGATGCCTCATTACAATCGAGCGCGCTTACGATACCTAGAATATAGAAAAAAATTTATTTAACGCAAAAGATTCCCACGTTAATGCACGTAAGAGGAAAGATTTACATGTGTAAGAACATACGTATTGTCCAGTCTTAATGAAGAGTCCTACCTACAATTATATGGAAACGTCTTACGTTGATCGAGTATTCGACACACTCGATCGCGGATCAATCATGTTTATTACGTGATTACACACGGACGAATGCGCGTGTAGAGATGCGATAGTCCGCATGTTTATTATATTTATAAAAATATATTGTACAATGTTAATTCAATGATAGAAAATTTGATTGTAGAATCATAGACGATCCTATCCTCCCGGCGGGAAGAAACAATTCGGTGATCGTGTACCGATAAAAAAGTCTTACGTTTAATCAGATTTGTTAAAAGAAAATGTTAGCTTTTTTATTCCGTAGTAAATCAACGTCGCGTAAAATCCTTATATTAATCTCAGTAAAAATATATAGCATTTTCTGCTTTTCTTTAAATCTTGCATAAATAAAAAAAAAGTAGACAACGAGATAAAGAGAAGCGTACGTTATATGTATATATTATGTAATTTGAATGTCACATAGTAATAGTTTAATGTTTAATCGATATTTATATCATGTGTAAATAGGGTGAATAGCCATCCAATGCAGGACAGACATGGAACATTCAGTCGTAATCTCAATAATACTATCGCGCTTTAAGTTAGCAATACCGGAAGTTCCCGCAAACGCACGACTAAAACGACAAATTGTTTCTATTCTCGGCTTTCTCTCTCTCTCTCTCTGTCGTAGGTTTCATATGTATATTGTCCCTACGATGAAATCAATCGACGAAGCACGTGAGCCACACGTTTTCTAGAAACATGTCATACACAAGACTTTCAAAGGCCTTGACCACTGCTTTTAATGCTGAAGAACAATCCGTGCATTCTGTCCTTGATTGTCGAGAAGAAGTTGGGGTAATAAGGTGGGCTCATTAATTGTCCTTGTCCTAGTTTTTTTTTTTTTATATAATGCCAGGAAATAATGGTATATCGTACGGCATTGACCGTTCTTCTGGAATCGTAAAAAGAATAAGACAATCATAATCATATTTTTATTAGCGTTAAATTTGCTTGAAATAATCGACGTGTGCTTGATCGTTTCAAACGAGGAAAAAAAGACAAAACTCAAGCGAACACTACACGCTAATAAAAATATGATCGCTTTATTCTTTGAGCATTTATTTCCGCCAATCAAAATTATCGTTCTTTAGCCCTCCGTTAAATATAAGAAGCTTTGCATGATTTAACAATCCTTTTCCTCTAAGCAACAAGATCCTTTTGTATTTAATTCATGTCTAGAGTGTTAACGGGAATAATTCAGCTTCTTCTATTATGTGATATATAATGTGAATATTTTAGTCGGTGACTAAACGTGCTGTGACGGGGCAACTCTCGCGAAACTCTCATCGTTGAAAAGAGCGTTTCGAATTTCAAAAGTCACACATACGTTATTCATAGTCATCTCTTATATTTAAGATCATCTCAAGTTCATCTTCAGACGCTGTTCATACTCGTTTTATTGGCTACGGCATATCTGAAGATAAATTTAATACGATCTTATATATAAGATCTGACTACATGAAGGCTTGACCATAAAAAATCTTTCCTGATGATACTTCAGTCTTATAATATTTCAAAACCGTCCAATATATATTGCTTCAATAAAAATTGGTGAAAAATTAAAATTTTTTGTTGTAGTAAAGTTGTCTTTTAAAATAACATTTTTAAGGAGAAATAGATGCATGGGTGTCATTTTGCGGAAATTTTTGGCGTTGCCTATGGATACAATGAATACTGTATTTTATATTAGCAGATATAACGCTTTTGTGAAACTATGATATGTCAGATTCCTCATCCACTTGTCAGTTAATAAAATACAAGTTCAGTTATTGCAGCAATGCAAATATAAATACCATCCGTGATTTCGTAGGATGGGTTGCCCGAATATATGATATCGTAAAAACCAAAAATATGAAAGAACGGCTGCCGATGATGAAACCTGTACTAGCATTCCTAATATTTACTCGATACGTCTCTTCTAAGTAAAGATAATTCTTCTAAAGATGTATATTTAACAGAAGTGGAACAGTTTGCAGAATGCACGTGGTCTTGAAGAATGACTATATAGGCATGAAAGTCTCTGTTTCTCTCTTTTTTTTTCTCCTCCCTCTCTCTCTCTTTCTTTTTGCTTTTTCGCATCTTATCGTTGTCAATTCGAACGGCGACCTCCGATCCTGTACAAACAGAGTAGTATGCGTCTACTTAAGCTAACAGGCTCGCGAGTCACTTAAGATACACGATTATGCACAGTTACACGAAACAATCGCGGATTAAGGTAGAAGGGGATGGTAGTATACTGGCTTGCGACTCTTCTCCATAATGTAGAAAGCCTTGGGCTTGCCGTTTCCGGGGAAGTTCTTGTGGATGCTGGTGGAGCCCGTCTTGGTGGTGATCGGCGCGTAATACGACATGGCAGCTTTTTTCCTGTGCTTCTTCATCTTCGGCACGGTGTTCCTCGAGCCGTGAAGCTCATTGGTCAGGTGGACCCTGTGCACATTCAAATCGTCCAGTCTATACGTCTTGTTGCCGTCGTTCTTTTTCGTCGACTTAAACTTGATATTGTCATTGTCGTTGCTCAGATAGTTGAGCCTCTTGTCATTGTTTCGGACGTGTTTCGTCACCGGCAGCTTTTGGTGCGAATGAAGTTTGTTATCGGCGGCGCGGTATTCGTAACTCTTGCTGGTTGAATCGAGCGGATAAAGCTTATCCAGCGCGGTTTTTGCCGACGACGTTTGCTGCTGTTTCTTCATATCCTCCAGCCTTTTTCTCGCCTGATCGATCCTCAGTTGACTCAGCTGAAGGCGCTTCTTCTCCGTCATTTTCTTTACGACCGGTAAATTCCAATGATAAATCTTGGCGGGTTTGCCATTTCCTTGGAATCCCACCGGAAAACTCGGACCGGTCTTGGTCACTTTGTCGTCGTTGACGGATTTGTGAGGCTTCGTGATGGTGTAGTACGGAGGACTAGCCGGAAGCTTCACGATGTAAACGTGGCTGTCGCGGTGCCCGTGACGACGGCTGTAAGCCTGATGTATGCGCGTCTGCGAGCTGAGCCCCGGTGGTTCAGGTCCGGCTAATCGCTTCTTGTGATGCCCATCGGGTATTTGAAGGGGTGTCAGTCCGAGTCGGTTCAGGACGGCCGCGTTGCTTGTATGAACCGTCTCGAAACTCTCCTCGGAAGCAGTCGCAGCGGCGTGACCACTGAGGAACATCAGTAGCGAGCCACTTAGCAGAAGTAATCTAAAATACAAAAAAATCATATGCCATCGTTATGTGTACACGTATCTTTCATGTTGATGTGGAAGTAAATCCAATAACGAATAGTAATGGATTAAGTCAAAAACCGCTGATGTATAAGAGTAATCGTGGCCGCGGGAATGATTGTTTGTTGCGTGCAATTGATTCGAAAGAACTCTATAAACGAGATTCCAACGACATGGCAAATGTACGATGTCCGCCCGAGATCTAGATGAAGAAGAGATAGGGTTACGCCAGCTTATAAGGAACGATTCATCATGAGTCACGATTACCAAGTCGCGCGAAACCAACGACAGAAATCATTCAACCGTATAGGCGTTAGTGCCACGAGGAGTTCGAAGCAGGGATCGAGGATCTTGGGTCTCCGACTGGCTCGTAATATGGTTACGCGTGGAAAAAAGATTTTAATAAGGTAGAATTTCAGGGCGAGCGTGAAAGTGATGATTCCCTGCCAACAAGGCGTCTATTTTACGAGGTGAGAAACCGACAGTGCAAAAACATCGTGACGATGAATACGCGTCAATTTGCCCTGGCTGTTAAGAACCGCGCGTCGCTGCACTGGTGAGCCGCGACGATGAATTAGCCTTCCCACTTAATTACTCGTTACAAGGATGAAGTATGTTAATTATTCTGCGTCTCTCTTGTACCTTTATTATAAGGGGCGTTATGCGTGTCTATGAAGAAAGCACCGTTTCAACAGCTCATCATCTACGAATTATTTTGATAATTCATTGAAAACAGAACTTCTGTGGTTCAATAATAAAATATATAAAAGTTATTGTATGATAAAAAATGTGTTTTTTTTAATTGAAAGAAGACCCTGAAAAATGAATTTGTCATGTGTAAAACACAAGCAAATAATTATATAGAATCGCGAGCGGCAATTTTCCGTCGAAAAAAAAAGTAATAAAATATTCAGTGACTCGAGTGACTACGTTCGGTAAGGCAATGTCCATCGGTCTTGGAAGTTGGAACGTCCGTCATGCAATAGCCATAAATTAATATGCCAGCCGGACGACTCCCTCGTTGTGAAATTATTCCTCCATCCAGCAAGGTACTTGACGTGGTCATTCACAACGACATGACGCTCGTGCTGCATCTAAAGGAGTGACTGGGAGAGAAAAGGTGAAATACGACGGAGGACGAAAGAGGTGGAGGAGAGGAAGAGAAAGAAGATTGCGTTGCTTGTGCGAAAGATGATCGAATGTTTTTCCATAACTCAGTAATTAGGGACAATTAAGAAGAGATGTTTTACATTACATGCATACAAATGGGCTACATTAATCATTCCTGCAATTGTGACTTTGAGTGAAATGTGGTAAGAGTATATTCTAAAATTTTAAGTGGAAATTTTAAAGGAAAAAAAAATATTTATAATAATATCATGTGTAATTATCGCTGTTTGTCGCTGGTTATCGCACATAAAATGCGAGGCTATTATTAAATAAGTGGACTATCTTCACCTCGATAGAGATCCAGTAAATGATGCTCCAACGCTTTTGATTTTATTCATCACGACTTTAATTAAAATATTATTAATATTTAATCTATACCAACTTTGAAGTCAACATGCATAATTACACTTCAAGAGTTATCAGTTGCTCGATAATACTAATATAATAGTATAATTGCGTGACTAACATATCATCCTATAAGATGAATAAGAAACGGAATATATTGTATTAATAACAAATAAATACCTTCTTCTTTATATCCTTTCAATGATTCGCTATTTCATGTTTAAATACAAAATCAGTCCGACATTCGAGGAAAACAATGATGCTGCGTTGCGGAAAAGCGCGCGCGCGCGCACACATCGGCAGGGAAGAACGCGGAAGAGGATCCGATGCTCGAAGAAGAGAGTTCAGATTAGCCCGGCGATGGGGAGAGAGAGCTCGAGGAGTGTGAAGAAGAGGAATAAGAGGAGCGCGCGGAGTAAGTAACCGCGGAGCGCGAGCACGTGCACGGTGCGGGTATGCGTGAGAAAAGCTCACAGTCGGAAATCTATATACGTATCGGTTGGTGAGAGACGGAGAGGCAATGCCTGGCCGGAATGACGAATGAAAAGGGATACCAACGTTGGCATCTCGCGGTGATCGCAGATTAATCTTCATGATCGTCCGTCCGGCCGGAGCGGCGGCGGCGACGGCATCGGCAGCCCGCGCGCGCGGGCTGCCCGTTTTACCACTCAACTTAACTCGATCTAATGATCAATGGCTATCACACACAAATGGTTCGATTCCCTTTCGATAGTTATTGGCTGCACTAACTACGCTAATTCTCGTCGCGGCGAAGTCTCGTCGACGTTACACGCGAGGCATGTTAATCCGTTCGTACGACCGTGAGGCACTTCAAATATTTATCGAGAGAGACCCGAGAGTCTACGGTCTGCGACCCCTTCGTGACTGCGAGGTGTGAAAAGCACCTCCCGAGAGAAGTCGCTTCGACGCTTCGTATACGTTTGTGGATCATCACATTTCGCGTATTCCTGCTATGTAGTGGATAAGACTCTGGACTGACTGGATTGTGTATCGGGTTCGTGCGAATATTACACGTGCCACATGCAATCCGTACTCGTGTAAATGAGATAATGTTTTCTGTAGGAAATGTATGGGACTATCATTACATTAATATGAAGCGATTCTTATCTCCGTACGCGAGATAAATCTTCCGTGTGTATATTCCGTGTAGAATGCGGGAACATGGGAGAAGCGCGTGTCAAGTGATGTATGCGTGTATCGAGAAATTCAATTCATTGGGGTGAACAGAGTTATTTATTGATTAACTTATATCGCGACTATATTTATATTTATGAAAACCGCGAACGTACGTACCGCATACTCCGCATTTGCAGTAGAGCTCGGAATACCTGGGTATCCGGGTACCCGCCCGTTCGCCCGTTACCCGTTGTATACGGATCTGGACCGGTTCCGCGGGTACCCGGGTAATTCGGGTAGCGGGTACCCGTATCGATTCGGGTACTCGCTACCCGTGTCAATACGGGTACTTGTTATACCCGCGTCAGTACGGGTACCCGTATCGAGGCGGGTATAACAGCGTATGCCACAAATATCTGCGCGGCGTATTACACGGAGACGCGTATACGCAAAGTAATAAAATATAAATTCTCACACGCTTCAAAAATATATTAAATATATGAAAGAATGCTTTTATATTAACCCTTCGTTTTTTCGATACCTTCTAGTGCATACGTGAGTCTGTCATGTTCAACGCTCCCTACCTTAAAGTATTTTAAAAAATCTGAAAAAATTTATAAAACATCTGTCTACATTGTAGTTGACAATTTTATAATTTTTTGATAACCATTTGTTTATTTAATATTTGATTTTTAATGAACTTTCAATAATATTAGCAAAATTATTACTTATAAAAAAAGATATTACGTCTAGTGCATACATGGGTCTGAGACGTCCGTGCGAGACTTAACTTGCTCGGTATTCGGCGATATATTGATCTTTCGTAACAGCTCTGGGTCCCTCTTGAGTCCCTTTTCTCACTTGCTTTTTTAGAAATGGAGGCAGGCTTGCCAGTTTTACAGTTACGAGCAGATATTATTTTGGCTCGGACGCCGTAGACTCACGTATACGGAAGGTTAAATATGCATTACACATTATGTGGATAAATAGCTATATGTGTGTAATTATATTTGAAATTTCTATAAATTGCTTTACGTGTAATTTTATATATTTTCTTATTTTACATGCATATATATCTTTTTAAAACCAGTAATATAATTATATATGATATAATACTATCATTATTTTATACAGAGCGCCTTGGGTTTTACCCGATAAACTGCGGGAGCATATTCTACAAGTGAAAATAAGAAAAAAATATTATATGAAGTTTGGCTAGATATTTGTGGCATACGCTGTTATACCCGCCTCGATACGGGTACCCGTACTGACGCGGGTATAATAAGTACCCGTATTGACACGGGTAGCGGGTACCCGAATCGATACGGGTACCCGCTACCCGAATTACCCGGGTACCCGCGGAACCGGTCCAGATCCGTATACAACGGGTAACGGGCGAACGGGCGGGTACCCGAATACCCGGGTATCCGTTTCTTTTTCCGAGCTCTAATTTGCAGAGCGTTCTTGTTGATCCATGCTGGACCTCGAGAGGAAGAAACAGTTAGGACGTATTACCGGTAAATTTCAATGCATGGAATTTCAATGCGTGCTGGCTTCGGCTCGAACACGAACATTTATCATCTTAACATGATGCAATTAAGGTTTTCCTTTCTATCTGAGATAGATCTTGCCATCCATCCGTGTGCGGAACTGACGAAATCTATTCGCTTTCAGACCCAAGACAAAGAAAGTTGATGGGGGATTTCTGGACTTTAATTTCACGCGATGGTGCTCTTCAGATTGCGCATCGCACTATCTCGTAATTTACAATGTACCATGTACGATTACGTAAAAGAAAATTAATATATATATATATATATATATATATATATATATATTTAGCGTTTGTTTTCAAAGTTAAAATAGATTTAAAAAATAAGATATAAAAACATTAATGTTCCGGTATTTTGTCTCAAATACCGTTATTTTGTTCGACAATTTAACTTATTATGATGTAATATGAAAGGTTCCCAATTATCCGACCCTCCAGGTCAAATTGCTCGTTTTTGGGCAATCGTTGGAAACGACGTTTTGGACAAACATATATGTAATGTTCTTCAAAACTTCGAGCGCACGCAAACACAATTATGTCAATTATCAGCGTATTGATGCATGTTGCAAATTACTCCACGGTCTTTTTAGGCCGCTTTAATTACAATTTTATCCCCTTGCAAATAGTTTGAGAACTTAATCATTCATAATTATTTCCGCAAATTTGTATAGCTCACGCGAATATCAGACCTGACGTGAAAATCAAATTATCAAATTACGTCCCACGTTCGCGGAAGTGAAATTATAAATGTTGAAATAGAATGTTGAACCGCG